GACTCATAATGATCATGTATAGGGTTTCTAAAAACAGCTGGTGGGTTTGAACTGGTGACCTTCTGGTTACCAGTCCTACAATGTCACATCATGGCTGACACCACACACACAAACACATGTATATATACACATACGTGTGTTTGTGTGTGTGTGTGTGTGTGTGTGTGTATAATCCTGGTGTGGTGTTGTGGGTTGATGTTGTGGACTGCAAAGTAAGTTTGATCTGCAAGGTCAGCAGTTCAAATTCACCAGCTGCTCCTTGGAAACCCTATACAGGGGTCACTATGGATTGGAACCAACTTGACAGCACTTGACGACATCTTTCTCCTGCGGAATGGCTGGTAGATTTGAACTGCTGACCTTTAGATTAGTACCAGGACTCATGACCACTACGCTACCAGAGCTCCTTGTATAATATATATGAATATACATACTTATAGCTCTTGTTGCTGAGTGCTGGAGAGTCCGTCCCAACCCATAGCGACCCTGTATAGGGTTTCCGAGCAGCTGCTGGTGAGCTTGAACCGCCGGTAGTTCAAACCGACTTTGCAGTCCAGTGCATTAACCCACAACACCTCACCAGGACTTCCTGCCTACATATACATATGTATATATATTTATACATATTGTCAGGAGGGACCAGTCGCTGGAGAAGGATATCATGTTTGGTAAGGTGGAGGGTCAGAGAAAAAGAGGAAGGCTCCAGTGAAATGGATTGGCAGAGTGGCAGCATCAATGGGTTCAAGCATGGCAACAATTGTGAGGTTGGCCCAGGACCGGGCAGTGTTTCGTTCTGTTGTACATAGAGTCACTATGAGTCGGTACTGACTCGATGGGACCTTATAACAACATATATACATATATGTGTATATGGAAAGAAAATTTCCATGTATCATTCATTCATAAAACAATTTAATAATGGATCTATACCACCTTCTATGCTTATAGGAGTCCTGGTGTGGTGCTGTGGATTAATGCGTCAGACTGCAAAGCCATTTGAACTGCAAGGTTGGTGGCTCAAGCTCACCAGCCGCTCCTCAGAAACCTTATAACAAGTTGCTATGTGTCAGGATTGACTCGATGGCACTTAACAACAACAACATACTTAGAGTGCATATTACACAGAAATGGATGTTGTTTGCATAATTTGACAAACGAACACACGTGTTTGGGGAATGCATGAACGAAGATGTTTTTGCAGATCATTAACAGTTGGTGAGTACCACTCTAGCAGAACGAGAGAGGCTCCCACAGACCCTTCTAGCTCTTCATCCTCTGCTTTCTGGTTCCGTAGCGTGTGGGTGTTTAGATAGGTGGTTTCAATGTGGGCAAGGGTAGGATCCGATGAGCTGGACCGCACTGCAGCTACTCACCTGGACCAGCCCAGGCAGCATCAGAGTGAATGCACTTTGACCTCTCATGGGGAAGGAGGCAGGTCTAGGAGCTCCAAGAACCCATCAGCAATAAAACCTTGGCATTAATGAGCCAAGGCCCCTAAAGCCTGACTGCAGGGAGCTGTACATAGCTGGTCCTGGTGAGTCTGGGTCTGCCAGGGAGGATTCTTTTCCTGATGGACCTGGTCACTGATGCTAAAGGCTGAGGCTTGCTCTCCCTGCCTCTGAGTCCCACAGGGGCCATGCTGAAAGCAACATAGAATGACTTTACCCAGCAAGTGCTCCATAGGGAAGTGGTGGCTGCCATCCAAGTCTGTATCCATGCTCATGATGTTGTGAAGAAGGAGGGAGAAAATAGAAATTAGTTAGAAATTCAGATCTACCAGAGGTGCCTGGAAGGAAGCACTGAAGACCTGCTTCCCAGAAATCAACCCTGGGATTTGTAGAAAGACTTTGTGGAGCAGCATTGTATTCTGAATCAAATTGTGTTGCCATGAATTGGCAAGTGGTACTGATACTGGTCATCGTTGGGTTCAAGGATGCATAATCCAACATGCGCTCTGTAGGATCCTTGGGAAGGGGCTTGGGGGCTCCTGTGCGACTGTGGCCATCCCATCCTGTAGCCCACATACCCAGTCTGGCAGGATGATAGCCACCTCCTTGAATACTAGAGGATTCTTAATGGCACAGTGCTTAAATGCTCAGCTGCTAACCAAAAGATCAGTGTCTTGAACCCACCATTCACTCTGAGGGAGAGAGATTACACTTTCTACTTCCACAAAGATTTATAGCCTTGGAAACCCTGAGGAGTAGTCCTACTCGGTCCTACAGGATTGCTCTGAGTTTTAATTGACTTGATGGCTGTGGTGTGAGTGAGTTGAGTATCGGGCTGCTGACAGAAAAGTCGGTGGTTTAACTGCAGCATCTGTTCTGAGGGAGAAGGATGGGGCCCACTGTTTCTCTGAAGACTTAGAGTCGATACCTTTGTGGAGCAGTTCTCCTCTGTCCTCTGCTCGCTGTGAGTTCGAACTGAGAATGGTGGTGGCAGGTGGTGATGACACGGGCCTAACCTGGGTCATCTAGGTGAATCTCCCTCATTGTAGTCCTCTGACTCACCTCCTTACTTCCTCTGCACCTTCATTTCCCCTTGTCACCAAATCTCACATATTCACAGGTTCTGGGGATTACAAATAATGAGCCCTGGGGGTACACTGGGTTAAATATTGGGTTAGAGTCCTGGTGTGGTGCTGTGGGATAAGCACTAGACTGAAAGATTGATTTGAATCACAAGGTTGGCAATTCATACTTACCAGTTGCTCCTCAGAAATGCTCTACAGGGTTGCTATGAGAGAGACCTGACTGGACAGCACTTAACAACAACAACAGCGACTGAAATGGACATTGAAACCTTGTTTTTTTCCAGCAAAGGATGGCACTCCCTCTCTGCCTCAGTCGGTGTGCTTTAGGAGGCAAATGGCTTACCATGCTAGCCACTAACGCCTGATGCTGAATTTGACAGAACTCATGACCAGATGAAGAACCCTGGTGGTGAAGGAGTTCAGGAGATGATTTTGCTTTAAGGTTTAAGCCATAGAAAAGCTCACAAAAAGGT